TGCACCGTAAGTATTGTTTTTCTAACGTTTGCTAACTTCCAAATGAGTCAGTATAATGATTTCAATAATGACAAGCAACGTGTGTTTAGTATTTATTGTTGTAAGTTAATGTTGCTAGCTTGTTAAACCCACTTGCTTGTGACGCCGGTCACTGATCAAGATAGCTGCCCAGTTCTCCACTGGTTCTCCTCACACCACAGCTCAATTTCTCTCCGATGGCCGTTATTTCTTCTAATCCTTGGCTGCTCCTGGTCTCTTGGACGCCTAGCAGGCTCATACTTATAAGGTTGTGGTCCGTCATATGCATTCGAATATTCATGTTCAACTTCTTCTGTGTCTTCTGTGTCGAAACTAGCATTGGGATCCATGTTTATTAATACGTTACACCGGCCGCTCTCCCCCTTGTGTCCCCCGTGTTACGTCACACGCAGGAGGTCACGTGCCGAGGCTTTTTTATGCGGAAGTGAACATTTCTTACAAAAACGACGCCAGATGTCACTGTAGTGTATATTTCTGTATATTTTTGGGAAAATCTAGTGTATTCATCATTTTCCTACACATTTATTCACAGGTGTCTTTAACCTGGAAGTTGCTCTTTAATGGAGACATGTTGAAAGTTTTTGTCACTTCATGCTCAAGAGGCATTTTGTTTAATTATTTTTTGCTTAATTATTTGTCATTTTTCAAGCTACGAGATGTTTTCCTACGTTTGTCATGAAAAATGATGTCTCAGGAATGTAGGGTTTGGGAATTATGGCAGTTTAAAAAAAAGAATATGAAGGCAAATTTCAAGATTTCCTACACTCTAGCTGTGACATCACTCACTCTAGTTAATTTTAAATCTGGAGAAAGCCTCTGTACCAAGGTCTGAACAATGTTTAATATCTCTAAAAGTAAGAATCAGATTTAAAAGTTGTGTTACAAAGATGTGTAACATTTTAAAGTTGGAATGAGGTTTCTGAGTGAAAGTATGAATGAGCAGTTAGCAGTTGAAGTCGCATGAAGATTTGTTGAAGTCTGAAGAATTTCTCCATTGACTTCAATGGTTAAAAATGTGATGAATTATGGGATGTACTGTATCTCTGGAATTATGAAAGTTATGAATTACTAAAAGTAATAGCCATCGATTCCCGACCGAGCTGAACGTTTTGATGTTTGAACGGAGTTTCTGCGATGTTCAATGCGGGAGGAGAAGGCCGGCAAAATAACGGGGGGAATAATAAGAATAAAGAATTTTGTGCGTAGAAGAACAGATACTGTAGTTGGAATGCTGTTAACAGCATTCCCACTAAATGATTTATTCAAGTCCTTACACTTTTCTCCAAGGAGTGGATTAAAGGTCCCATTTCATGGCCATTTCTACTGATCATATTTCCATTGTTGAGGTCTACTAACATAGATTTAAATCGTGCAATTTTCCAAAATCACATTGGTTTCTCATACAGCATCTCTGTATAGTTTATGCTTGTAGGAGCTCCACGGATTGGTCCATTTGGGCCAATCCGGTCCTTTGTTGTTGATTTGGGTGTTCATACGTCACAACCCAGGAAGAAAACAATGGAAAATGAGAAATCTCCAACGAGGCTTTCTGGGGCAGACACGTCTTTTCTGTGTTAGAGTTTTACTCCCTACAGGGTGTACTTTGAGGGTTTTTGACTCTGCAGATCGTTTACATGCATAAAAACCTTCATAACACACAAGGGGAATAAGCGGAAAAGCATGACATAGGCCCTTTAAAATTACACTTTTAGCCTGAGTCTGCTTCAACCAGCAGTGCAAGCAGATAAAAAAGTCAGACAACAAAAAACCTTGGATTCTGTCTCTAACCAGATTTCTCTCTGTTCCCTCCCCTCTCTGCTGGATCAGATGAAGCTGCCGGTGCTGCAGCTCGGCCGCTCGGCCAGCCTGCGTCCTGGAGAGTTTGTGGTTGCCATCGGCAGCCCGTTCTCCCTGCAGAACACCGTCACCACCGGCATCGTCAGCACCACCCAGAGGGGGGGCAAGGAGCTGGGCCTCCTCAACTCCGACATGGAATATATCCAGACCGACGCCATCATCAACGTGAGTGAAGAGACCGAGAGAGAAACATGAAACAACCCAAATGTTTATTTGTTTATTATAATTTATGACAACCCACATTTGAATTAGTATAAAAATATCTTTGATCCAGTCCAAGTGTGTTTTATGTTGATTCCACTGGTCCCTGATTAGTCTAAATCCTCTGCATTCATCTTGTTATTGGTAAGCAATACAAATGTGCAATGTGTAATGAAATGTTTGCATTGGTGCCTTTGAATGACAATCTATTAAAATATTTTATTCACATTTCTTTGACTTCAAAAACAATTTGGTTCGACCAATTTTAAATTCTTTATGTGCTTTTTTGTTTCTTGCAGTATGGCAACTCAGGAGGACCACTGGTCAATCTGGTGAGTAAAGGAAAAAGAATACACAGTACAAGCTAGATTTCAAAATAAGACGTTACCTGTTCAAAATGTAGCATCTTATATGTATCCAGTGGTCTCACAAAAAATGTGTCCTCATGCCCAAAGTAAATCACTTTAAACTGCATTAGTTCCCTTTTTGACATCTTAGCTTTCGGAATTGAATATGACAATAGAGTATTGATAATAAATCATGCATACCTTTAATTGTGCTTCATCTGTTGTATGGGGAGCTGAAACTGAATGTGTCATCATTTTCGCCACATGAGATTCATGTTAAATGAATTTGTTAGAGACAGAAATAAAGTTTCTGCTCACGGGGGCCACATCCACATGTTGTGAAACAGAGATATATGTAATGTCATATAAACAAACATCAAGGCTCAAAAAGTCCTTGTTAGGAAAGTAAACAGAGTTTAGGTAATGCCTGGCAAACAGCCACATCCCCCAGCTGACTCTGATTATAAGTCTGTTTAAAACTGGTAATGTTACTAAACACAGAGCAATGTGGAGTGAGAAGTGCTGTTTAAAGAGAGGAAATTAGACTTTTCCTGCGGGGAGTCCAATCAATAATAGAGAAATAATGTGCCTAATTGTGTGTGTGTGCGTGCGGTGTGTGTCCTGCAGGATGGAGAGGTGATTGGTGTCAACACTCTGAAGGTCACAGCAGGAATCTCCTTCGCCATCCCATCAGACAAGATCAGGCAGTTCCTGGCAGAGGCGCACGACAGACAGGCCAAAGGTTTGCTACTTGCTATCAATGTGAACCCGGAAATGTTGAGTACCCTAAAGTTTTATGATAGAAATGTATAGTACGGGTCACCAGCACATAGAAACTGGCGGATGCTAACTTGCATACATGTATGTTGGACAAGGTATATTGAGGATATTACATTTTTAGGATCAAAACATGCCATTTTGAGTCCCCTCAAACCAAATGTAATCAAAACTATCCAACCAGGAGTACAAACATGGCGACTTTCTGGTTAAAACTGCAATTTTTTATCCTGAAAGTGTCAGAAAATGATTAAAGATCCTAATGCCCTCCAAAATCACTCCAAAAGTTTCCAAATTGGCCAAGCCATTTGTTTTAATTTTTGTTTTACTGCAAATTATGCTAATTGGCTAATTGCTCAACATATGCAAGTTAGCATCTATTGATCTATATATAAATGAATAGGGTGAATGAAGAAGATAATAACTTCTACATTCTACAAGTCAATCAGCACGTGTCTTTTATTTCTCCAGGTAAAACATACCGGAAGAAGAGGTACATCGGAGTCAGGATGATGAGTCTCACCCCATCGTAAGTTCCTGCTGCTGATTACATAAAACTGAATTTATTTTTGCATTCACATTATATTATTTTGGTCAGGTTATAAGTTCGTTTTTGTAAACAAACCCTGACATTATCGATACAGTCCTCTTTTGTTTTATACATGTGATACAATTAATAGTTTTTTTTTCTTTCTGTGAGATTGATCTGTTCTGTTGCAGAAAAAATGCAACTAGAATGTGAGAATTGATGCAGTCTGATTAATCTTCAGAGAACCCTGAAACAGATCCTAGTACTGACTGTTCTACATAACATGGGCGGTGATGTTTTTGTTGTTGTTGTAACCTCAGTTTTAAGTACCTGAGGCCTGTACTACAAATCCAGTTCAACATACCCTGGATATGTTTGAGTTATCTGGCTTAACTAACCCAAAGCAAACGCGATCTCGCTAAGCGGTCCTACGATGCAGTGGCGGAGCTGGGGGGTGGCCACCCTATTGGCCACCCCAAACACCCTCACCACGGGGGCCCAAACTATTTTAGTACATTAAGAAAAAAATGTTTAAGTAACCTTTCATCATTCATTAATAATTAACATTAATAGAACGTTATATTGATGATGTACTCACTAAACTTAAATTCATTTAACTTATTTTCTTCCAAAAGTTAATTATCCAAAGCCTCTGTACACCCCCTTCTATTTACATGGAATGATTTGGTCCCGCCTCCGCCTCCAAACGGCACTTTCTAGCAGAGAGTGAGAGCATGTGAGGAGGGATGCTAGTACTTAGGTGTGTGCCATGTCTCAACGACTCACAAAGTCAGGCTTTCAAAAAGAAAAGAAAGGAGAGAAAGAAAAGAGAGAGGGACTAAAGGGCGACAGTATGTCACCCAGTATTTCAAGAGAAAAGGTGAGTGTGGTCCATGAGTGGTGGAAATTAGTCTGTTAGCTAAGCGTAGTCCATTGTAAATCATAATTTGTATGTTTTTTTTTTACTAAGCTGACATTAAGTACTGTTAATATCTATATAGAAAATGCAGAGGTTTTTAATTTCACTTTAAAGGAGGTGAGTAGCATTGTTTTGAATTGCATGCCACTTAACATATCAGAACGGAGCCTGGAATACAATATATATATATATATATCAAAACAAAAAGCTAACATCTCATTTCAATTATACATTTCAAACACAGTATTTTCCCACATATTTAAGTTATATTTATTTGGATTGATGTATTCGTGTTGAGAATGTTCCATTCAAAAATGTTATTATTAAAAAGGCATTTACACCATAAAAGATGACTATTGAAATCTATTGTCAGGAACGTTAGTCTTGTTTGAGACGAGCTGTGGCTCGCCTCGAAAGTAGACGAGAATAGCCGATCGCAGCCGGGGGAGGTCTCAAAAAGCTCGCCTGAAGTCGGACAGCTCGGAGTTGGCTTCGCCTTCTTCTTCTTCTTCTCTCGGTTTTTTGGCAGATTGCAAACAACTTTAAGGTGCATACCGCCACCTCCGGAGTCGGCTTGACTCGGTTTGCATTTATAAAGAATGCACAAATGTGTTTAATCGTTAATGTCAGATATTTACTAAGTAATACATTTGTTCCTGCTCAAGATTAGATTCAACTTTATTGTTATTGCACATATTACATGTACTGAGACAACGAAATGCAGTTTAGCTTCTAACCAGGAGTGCAACAAGCAGTAAAGTGAAAAGTAATGTACAGAATCTACAGAATAAAATATAGAATGAATTGAATGATGAATAAACAGTGAGGGGTATGAATACACTAGATATACACAGCAGCCTGTGAGCAGTATAAACAGTGTGTATGCATATGATAAGATAGGCTATATAAAGTATGAAAACGGTAAGCAGTGCAAGTATAGTATAAAATATATGGATATTAATTTCATGATGATAAACATTGTGGAACAATGATGAAAAATGTGAATGGAAGTGGCGAGGTAAAACTGACACAAAACAACAACAAACTTTTGCCGAGCCAGTTGAAGAGTTTCATCACCAGCACAGGGTAAAAACCACCAATGAGCGCTCAGCTCGAGATACCAGCGAGTCGTTTCCCATCAAGCATTTTGCTTCTGCAGCCCGTGGAGAGGAACTGCGCCGCCTCGCCTCGCCGCGCCTGGCTCTCAAGTCTGCGAGCCTCCAGAGCCTCAACAGCTAAGAACAAGACCAAAGACACTGCAGGAGTGGGACGAGGTCTGAAAGTCAACGCGCGCGATGATTTCTCTAGCACGATGGTAGCCTTGGTTTTGTTACCACATGACATAATTTCAGGCTCACCTTTGTCAGCACTCATTTAGACTAAAACAGTGCGGTTGAGCCCTCTTTACGCCTCTCTTATACTGGGCCCCCCCTTTGGGCCCCTCTCCCGTTACTTTAGCACTCAGAGGGAACTTTTAACCCCCCCCAACCGTTCATACGTACTCCCAGTCCGTCACTAAGTCACCAGAGGTCTTAACAAATCCGATAGAGATCACAAAGGGTCTGACAAATCAAATAGAGGGGTGAAACAACTAATTGAGAGACACTGGATAATTTCCAGATTCGTTTTTCTCCTTCCGCGAAGTCTAAATGACACTCGTTGAGGAGGGCCCGTCAGTCTTGGAGACCGACGACACTGAACACTACACTTAGGAGGCCGGGCTATTGGAATATTATTTGGTGGTCACAAACTGTAGGTTATCGAGGTTGAGAGAGACTCAGGACTGATAGGTAACGATGTGTCTTCAGAAAGGGAATGTGTCATATAGGATTGATAAAAAAAGAATAAGGGCGTCCGTTTCATAAGTTGCTTCGAATGTAATATGTTTACATCACGTTATATTCTGGACGAAATCGAATTACCACTAGTCGTCGGGATACTCGAGTAAAGACGAGTCCTTATGTCTCTGTGTGTGGTTCCCATTAAATGTTATTCTCAAAAAATTTAATTTACTAACCAATTCTTTTATTTGTAGAATTTCATTTATTGTTATTTGTTATTCGGAATTGGGACATTCCGGGGCCAACATTAAAATGTTGTAACTGAAACGCGCTCTGGTTGCAGAACGATTCACGCAGACGGACTACCAATCAGGTAAAACCNNNGACCGCTGCAGTGCTGCTCGTCCACTGGAGTTTATTCTCCCCTTAATTCACAGCAGCGGCCGCTGTAAAGTATTCACTGTCTGACTGTCATACAAGCAGCTGATAAATATCCCCAATTCCCCGATATTGATCAAATCTATTCTGCTATATTTGATGAGGGATAAAAAGATTTTTTGCAAGAAGTTCTACATGAAATTGATACTGTTGGAGTCAGTACTACTTGGACTAATCCCAGAAGTACAATCAAGTGTTTGAGTAATCCCCTGTCAAACTCCCCTCCTGAGTAGAATAATGCATGTTTTCTGCTCCTGGGACCCAGCCCATTGAAAATGTCCACTGTAGTGGACATTTTGTTAACATGCATCACCCTTTGACTCTTTTGAGCTACTCTATCAATCCCTGATGTACTGTACAGAGGACATCCTGGTCTTTCCAGTGATATGTCATTGGTTAAAATTGCATGCTGGGAAGTTCCTCTTTATTTTCATCCAAAATGGCTGGTATACCCAAAACAAAATGTTATAGAAGCCGGAGGAGAAGTCAAATATTGTTGAATAATTGTAATTTTTACCATCATATATGTTATTGTTTATTAACATGTGAGGAACTATATAATTAGTTCTGAAAGCAATTAAATAATTCAAGTTTTGAAATAACAGCCCTTTTATAAATGTCCATTCTAGTGGACGTCAGGACCATCTTCATGGACTTAATGACTCAATATTGTTGCAGGAGACGGAACTGAAGCAGACATTTTCTGTACCAGATAGTTCAGGGAGATTAAGATTTTGAGCTCTCAGATGATGAGAGAGATGAGGATTTCACACCTGGGATAGAAGAGGGTCAAGAGGAAGGGGGGGGGAAAGATGCAGGAGGCTCCATGAGCGCAAAGATACAGACAGAGAGACAGATAGGGACGAGCTGGAGAGACATGGCCCTCTGTGGGCCAAGAGTAGCACGTATGTCTTATTGTTGTTTTTATTTTAAGTGGAGCCATGAAAAATGAGAGTTGCCTCAGGAATGCAAGCGGTGTTTCTATGAGCATGATCAAATGGAGACCACATCCATACAACTAGTCAAGATGACCCTACAGCCCTTGCCGACTGGATTCAATGAGGTACTTTTCCCACTACATTGACTACAAAGTCTTTGAAGATCTGGAAGGATTCACCAAAAAACAAACTAGTTTTTTAGTGACCAAATAAACAGCAATGTTCAGATCAATTACTTATTCATGTTTTAAATAAAGGTGAATGTATTATTGTATTAATATCACTCTATAACTATAATACGTTACATAGTCTGTTAATTTTGGCTGTCTTTTCAAACTAATATGGTCCTGACTTCCTCTACAGTGGACATACTGTAACATTTTAAAATTAAATTAAATTAAAAAAGTCTAAATTGCAAGATATTTTTTTTAACCCTAAATAGGTAGGAAATCACAAAAAAAAGGAAATTGGAAGACACTTTTTTTCCTCGGGTCCCAGGAGGTTTTTAAAAGAGTACTCTGGCAAATCTGCACTAGTAACACTGTCATGATTGACATGATAAAAACAGCAGAACCAGAGACAACATCTTGTTCCATTATAAACCTGGCACCTTTACCCATAGAGCAATTCAACTCTGACAGTTAAGGTTTTTTTTATTCCTCCTTTTCAAACTGGTACTCAACCTGGAGGAATAGCATTTTTAGTGAACTGAAGGTCGATACAGCCCCTTCCTTACCTGAGACTCCACGAGAAACAAAGACCCCAAATGTTACTCCCAGAGCAAAACCCAGATTGATTGACAGGTACTGTCCCTTCTTATCTTCAGTTGTGGTCACCTGGGCAACGGAGCCACATCCAAATAGCTGCAATGAAATGAAGAGCTATATTAGAAGAACATATAGAGCAGTGAAAAACATTAAACTAAATATAATCTGCATGACTTTCCAATGTATTTAAACAACTGCAGCTTTTTAGATGCGATTAAACTTCAAATGTACTTGCATATTTGCACACAGAACAGTCCAGCATGATCTGGCTCAGATAAGAGGACACACATCGTTGGTATAATTTCCTTTTTTATGAACTTTGCTGAGAAGCCTGCTTTATGATTTGGGTTGTAAACGTTAATTGCCCCGAGAGGAGAGGCAGCTGCAGAGACCAAGAAACAACAACTTGCTTCAAAACAAGGGAGTGAGCATGTTATTGCTTTATTGCTTCAGATTGATTAAATACTTGATGTTGAGTTTACTGATCAGGTGACAGTTTTGAATAACAGCTAGAGAAGGGATGCATTGTATTTTACAGCACATTCTACTACATGCATAAGGCTGCAGCTGCTGTAAAAATAGATATTTGAACAGAAAAATGTTTTTACGGAGGAATTTTAAATATTCAAGGGCACCGAGTATTGAAATTGACTTTAATTGGGACTAAAGTAAAGTCACATTTTGATCTAAATGAGAGGACTATGCCGCTGGCGGAGGAACTCTGTGCACCTGCAGCGGTGATCCAATTGAGGCGGAGTAATACGTTAACCTACAGTCTGAAACACCGGCTAGGACCGTGACGGAGGGTAACTGTGTGGAATGTGGTTACCATTTCACAATTCACCCTCTTTTTCATATTCAGTAGATTTTCTGAAAACTGTTCAGAAACTATTGAACCAATATGTTAACACTCAAATGTTTTGTTTTGTGTTTGAGACAATGTACAACATGGTTATGGATAATCTTGTTGTGAAGGCATGGCTGAGGTCAAATTCCTTGTTTAACTTGATGTATAACATGTTTTTTTAAATAAATGTTATATATCTGAACAAATGCGCTGCAAATGTTTTTATTAATTAATGTAAACTTGCAATTAGAAATCAATACAACTAATAGATTTAAGTTGAAATAAATGTATTATTACAATCTTCTTAACTTGAAATGATGAGTTATATAAATGTAGAACTTTAAAGTGAGAGTTATAATAATACTGAAATGTGAGTTTATTTGAATAGGTAAATAAGGTTTTCTTGCACTGATAATGTAAGATTGGTATTTGTTTCAACTCTTGAGTATAAAGTTAAATCAACTTAGACAACTTAAAAAACAATGTTAACACAACTAGAACCGTTAAGTCATATCAACGAGATTTACTTGCATTAATGAGTTGAAACAAAGATTGTCTTCAAGTTGACTTGATTTGCTTTTTCAAGGCAGCAGGTGGACTTTCATTTGCAAGTTGAACTGACATGAACTGTTTCACAGTGTTTCATAATTTACCACAGAACATTAAAGCTGATAAGAGGTGTAAATCTCTCTGGCAACATGTGCTCGTCTTTATAATATTTGATAAGGATAATTGCTCTACATGACAGAGATAATTGACCGAGCATACCCTGTAGATTTATTAGATAGTTTACTGATCAGGTGACACTTTCGAAGAACTGCTAGAGAAGAAATGCATTGTAATTTGTATTTTACAGCAAATTCTATTTAAAGCATAAGGCGGCAGCTACTGTAAAAATATAAATTTGAACAGAAACATGTTTTTACAGAAGAATTTTAAATACTCAAGGACACCATTACATTACATTGCATTTAGCTGACGCTTTTATCCAAAGCGACTTACAATAAGTGCATTCGACCAGGAAGATACAACCTTGAAGAAAACAGAATCATATAAGTACATCAGGTTTCATAGAGCCAAACATTTCAAGTGCTACTCAACTGGCTTTAGAAAAGCCAGCCCTTTATTAGTATATAAGTGCTTCGTTAGTAATTCAATCGCTCGAAGTGGAGTCTAAAGAGATGAGTTTTCAGTCTCCCCCGGAAGATGTGTAAGCTTTCTGCTGTCCTGATTTCAATGGGGAGCTCATTCCACCATTTTGGAGCCAGGATAGCAAACCCACATGTTTTTGCTGACGGGAACTTGGGTCCCCCTCGCAGTGCGGGTGCAGCGAGCTGTTTGGCTGATGCAGAGCGGAGTGCACGTGCTGGGGTGTACGATTTAACCATGTCCTGGATGTAGGAAGGGCCAGATCCATTCGCAGCATGCTACGCAAGCACCAGTGTCTTGAAGTGGATTCTAGCAGTTACTGGAAGCCANAACGAAGTAAACTGGATGTAAACTCCCCAAACAACCCAAACAGTTGAAAACCTACCAGTTTCACCAACTGTCTCTGCCGCCCAAAAAATCTTCTACGTCACCCCATTCAAGTGAATGGGCGAAGCGTTGAAAGCATTTTTCGATGCCTGTAGTGTAGACGGGCCGTTACCCCCGACGAGGCATTTGAGTCCTGCAGGATTTCCCCGTTAATATCAGTGTCTCGAAAACATGTTGGTGACTGAAAGACATCCAGTCTTTGGACTTTTCCGGAAGCATCCTACAGTATCTCAACTGAAAGAGGACCACAAACACACACAAAATATAATACAATTTTGAGATTTGGGGATATTTATGTCCCATTCTTTCACTTTTTCTGACATTTTCAACACCAAACATGTCGTTAATGTCTCTGTTTAGTGAACTACAGCAATCTGAAAGCCTGTACATTATTTATATCACACTTTATCAGTAGAGAAATGCAGGAAATCACTTTTTTAATGCAGTATTTTCTGATATATCGCGCAACTCAAAGATATTTCGTTCTGTGCAAAACCTTTGGCTCTAATATGTCATCAACATGAAACAAGAATATGAACCTGGCTTTATCCAATGTTCAAACAAGAGTTCTACATCCTGACACATCCTTCATCTACACTGTCTCAACTGAAAGAGGACCAGAAACACATTAAAAATATAATCAAATGTGGAGACTTTGGGATATTAATCTCCCATTCTTTTGCCTGATGAATTGTAATGTTTTAGATGTTGAAGAGTGCTTTCAACACCCAAGAAAGTTTTCTTATGATATACACATAAGCAATGTACTTATACATACACGTGACAGAGATTGTGTGTCTCTGGAAATGTGCGTTGTAAACTGAAATTAACTGACATAATTGGCTGCCTGGATAGTACAAAATCAATTCCAAAATCTGTAAACTGTTATATTACACAATTAGATTTTGTTGTCTGTTTTATAGTTTATATTATTATTCGGCCTGGTTCTTCAAGAATATTAAAATTGTGGTAGTCAGGGATTCAAAAAAAATTGCCTGATGCTGTATAATTTGGGCTTTCTGTGTAGACATGGATCAAGTTAGCTAGTGGAATCCGTCAAACCTGAAGAACACGATAAAATATGTGTACCAGTTAACGGCAATATGCTTCATTAAAATCAGACCAGTTGTAGTTGCAGCTTTTAAAAGCTTGACATTTGCTAGAGTGTCATAATTAATCACAGCGATGATTTATATGTTGGAATTTAAAATGAGTCACAGTGCATCATCCCTTCAGGTTTCATTAAGAGCTCGTGTTTCAGCTGTTTGTCTCTTCTCTCCTCCATCAGGCTGGCTAAGGAGCTGAAGGAGAGGCAGTCAGACTTCCCAGATGTCACCTCCGGGGCTTACGTCATCGAGGTCATCAGCCGGACTCCAGCCGAGACGTGAGTGCTTCGAACATCTCATTACCACATTATCTGCTGTTCACTTCCCAATATGCAGAAGTAACTAAGTACATTTAGTAAGTTCTGTACTTAAGTACAATTTTGAGGTGCGTATTTCCATTTAATGCTTCTTTATATTTCTATTCCGATACATTTAAAAGGGAAAAAAGGAAAGTTTACTCAAGTACATTTACTAAACTGTTTTAGCTACTTCTAACCAGTGTTGTAGTCAATTTTCGAGTCAGAGTCACTCGAGTCCCCACTCTTCGATTCTAAGTCTGAGTTACCTAGGAAGAGTCCGATTAGAGCCTGAGTCCGAGTCATCATTGCCTGTGCTTGAGGCCGAGTCCAAGTCTGAGTCACCTAGGAAGAATCAGAGTCCAGTCTGAGACCGAGTCATCATTACCTGTGCTGCTCAAGTCCGAGTCCAAGTGTTTCTGCACATCTTCAGACTGAGAAAAGCCTGGGCGCGGTACGGGAACTCGACTTACAGCTGCACACGCCCGGGGCAGAGTACATCCGGACTCGAGACAGAACTTGCTCTAGTCCGAGTCCGAGTCCGATCATCAATGTGCGAGTCCGAGTCTGAGTTGGAGTCCGAGTTCGAGTTCGAGTCCGATTTCGTGTCCAATTTTGAGTCTGAGTAGATCACTGCACAACTTCGAGTCAAGTCACGAGTCCTGAAAATTGGCACTCGAGTCCCCAAAGTCTGCTTCTGAAACAATGCATTTTTCAAAAGTGAACTAGTGGACCAACTCTTTAAGTCACAAAAGAGTCAAACTATTTATATATTTGACAAAAAATTCCAATAGAACTGTTTGTCAGCAACAGTAAAATGCTACTTGATGCAGCAAAAGTGTTTCTTATAATTATATACACACATAAAGGCAATCTTTCTGTACTATGATTGCTTTTACTTTTTACACTTTATGTACTGATAATACTTTGATACTTTTACTTCAGTAAGATTTTGAATGCAGGACTTTTAATTGTAATGAAGTATTTTGACAATAATGCATTGGTACTTTTACTCAAGGAAAGCATCTGAATACTTTTTCCACCCCTGCAAATATGTCACATCAACAAACTGTATTTCTAAAATCCAGCAGAAGACATCTAATTCTGCATTCATCATCTGGAGTGAGTTCAATTTATGCCAGTAAAAGCACCATTTTGGATTCACTCTCAGTTACGATGCTTGCAACATGTAAAAAATAGAAAGGAGGGTGCATGCTCACTTCTACTGAATTTACAGTATTTTGTTCCTGGAAAGATGTTTGGTTTCCACATGAAAAGCTTGTTGACAGCAAACCGCAGAGTTCCACCTGAGAAAGCAGCAGGCGGAGTTTATTTTCTTATTGTGTGGTTAGTTATGTTACGCCGACAGGAGTCAGGATAATCCGATTTTACCGAAAGAGCATTTATTAGATGTGAACTCTCTTCGTGTGGAGACTGCAGGATGTGGAAAGTTTACTCCTGGTTTCAAAGCTGCTGTTTTGCCGGAATGAAGGCTGGCAGTGGAAGAACAGTTCTCAGTTTTATCCAAAGCGACTTACAATAAGTACAGAGAGACGGCATTCATCCTACTTTGGAAGGTGCAAATCTCATTTCGGCAAACATTTCAGGGCTTTGTGGACTTAATCCATGACAAACAGGAGGCGGAGTCGCAGTCTTACACGCTTCTCTGCGCTCTCTCCTAGGCAGTCATCCATAGGAATCCCGAACCCAATAAAATACCCAATATTAACGGTGTGTGTGTCTGCCCAAG